CTAGGGGCGGGCTCCACAAACCTCTGGCTCCAATACACACCCATTCAATAAACGCCAACGTCTCTAATAAAATACTCAGTCAATCAATTTCAAAAGTCATTTTGTGTCATTAGCTAAATGCACAACTTTCGTTCAGTTTTCCGGTCTGAAATAATCATCTAATTAATGAGATATTAGGCCTTAAAATCAGTTATTTTGGGGGGCGTACCTGTTTGATTGACATGCCTAGTCTGCAATGATCGATAAGCGGACACAGTAGGTCGGGAGGTCAGTCACCGGAGGAGAGCCTGGGATGTATGTGTATCGTTAGAGTCAGTTGTGTTAAATTTTCTATTGTTTTCTCTACATTTGTCGGAAGAGGAGGAATTTTTCACCGACGGTCTTTTCGTCAGTTTTTTAGTTTTAATGAGTTTTCTGTTCACAGTAATTATGGCTCTTTCTTCGGCACTAACAGACTGTAGAGACGCTGATGTACCGTTTTATTGGTAAGTAAATGTTTATTTTCTGAACGTCCTACAGTTTTAACGTGTATGATGCTCCTTAAAAGCTAGAGCGTTTTTTCCTACGTGTTTTGAGCGGAAAACGGGAGACAGTGAACATCCAAATAAATATTACAGTTAATGTGAATAACGGATGTACTTTGCTAACCTGGGTAGTTGGCTAGCTAGCTGATAGCTTCGTGTTTGTTATGCTAACCGTACCCGGTACCAAACATGCAAACATTTGCAGGACAAGGAGAAATATAGTTTAACAATTAACTCAGCGTCATGTTCTTAGAAAAAAATAAGTCGCTGGTAGAATTTTCCTACATGCAGCAAAACATTCAGGTTCATCTCATTAACGTATTTTCCGTCTCTTCTTCTCGCTGGTATCGTATTGTATTGAGTACAATACACAATGTATAGAAGAACATTATCTTGTAGGCGTTTGTCATTTAATACTGTAAATTCTTACACAACAGTCTTGAACTGAAGCAGACTGTCATGACAGCTGATATATGTCTTTACCATGTTTGAACTTAATTATTTGTCTTTTACTGTCATTCAAAGGTGTCCACACTGAAAACTGAATGACCACTGGCAACAGAAGGAGGAGCTCATGTACGGACAAAGGAGACTGCATGTACTTCCTTAGCTCTGAAATGGGCTGTGGTGGTGATGATGATGATGCCAGAAAACTACTTCCAGTTCATCCTGAGAGTACAGACCAGCTTTTTAGACATTTGTTATGTGCCAATCAGAACTTACCGGATTTTGTTCCTGGCTGCTCCAAAGCCTCAAATGATGTCATTTCCTTTTTATGATGTCATTGAAAAGCAACAGTACATTGTTTATAGACAAAACATGTTAGTGTGACGGGTTGGTAAGTCAAAATGAGTGACACACGAATCATTACATTTCATCATGATGTAATGATGGGACACCTGAGAACTGCAATGGCAGCTGTGGCTGGAAGAATTATTTGGCTTGTGGCCTATCTACCCTATCTACTCTATCAGCCCTATCTATCCTATCTGCCTTATCTACCCTGCCACCCCATCTATCTAAGTGGTGATTTGGGCTGACCTGGCTGTGTAGGCGAATGTGCCCTTTGTCCTCCACTGGTCCGGTAACTACAGAGCCGTTTCATGTAGTATTCAATCTTATGAAAAATATGTAATGTGGGTAAACCTTGTAATGTGGTTGTCATGTAGGCCTACAAATAATGCCACAACACATGTGAGCCAGATGGATCAACCGACAGAGAATAAGTTGTTAATCTTTGAAGAAGTGTCATCAAGCAACATGTTTCAGTAAGGCTAAAAGCTGGTACTTTCAGTAGCAGGTGGTGGAAGAAGCATTAAGCAATGTAAGAAGCAATGTAAAAATACTCCATTACAAAGTCCTGCATATGAAATATTGCTTAAGTTAAATTATGTTTAAGTATTATAATAATAAAAGTGTTGTTTTGATGCCTCTTATTGTTATATCATTATATTGGCCTGACATAATGATTATATATGACACACACACACACACGTGCTGAATCCTGAATAGGCCTGTGAAGATAATACAAATTCAAATAAATAGTCTCATTTCTGAATATTTACATTTCTTTTTTTTTATATGTAATTTTAAATGCAGTAGTCCCATGTATTTTCTTTCATATGATGTCCTCCAGCTGGTAACAACCTTGGGCCCTGTAGTCACTGGCTGGTTCAGAAGGAGCTGTTTGGGGCCCTCAGTGTTTTCAGCTCTCTGAGCTGCACCAGGGAGCCATGGCGCACCTCAGCAGGTTGTTCTCCTCCTCCATCCGGGACATGCACCTCTGCAGCTCCAGGTACTCCCACACCAGCTCCTGCTTGGTCAGACTCTGCAGCCTCTCGACCTGGTACGTCTCTAGGTCTCGGGAATATTCTCTCTGGAGAAACTCCCTGCTTGCGTTCCTGGGCCTCCTAATGCCGTCGCCGCCTCTATGGTCCTCCGTGCAGCCACCGACCCCTGAGGGCCACCTGACACCGGTGCTGAGGTCGGGCTCCCCATGGTAATTGGTGTCAATCAGGTACTGTGTGGTGTTATAGGGGGCCATTGGGCGCCCTTTGGCGAACATCTCCTCTCTTATCCGAATGGCCCTGGCCGTCTCTCTCTCATCCTTGGCTTTCTTTTCCTCCCAGGACAGTTTGTGATAAGGCTTCCATTTACGCCTCTTCCTGGGTTTCTTGCGCCTGTGTTTCTTCTTGCACAGACGCACCTCTAAGTCAGTGTCAGAGTCCATGTACAAACTCAAAGTCTCTTGCGGTGGTTTGTATTCGCAGTTTTCCTCCTGTGAGATGTGACCACCCTTGTGCGCTGCCTGAACATCGGGTGTCTGGTGAGGCTGAGCTGCAGTCGGGGGTTTCGGGGGCTTGTTCCCTGCTGTTAAGGCAGGGCACACCTCCACCTCCTGCCCACAGTTCTCCGCCCGGGGCTGCCGCTGGCCCACGTCCGTCTCTCGGCTGCTGGCTGAGAGATTATCCCTGCTCCCCCGTGATAAACCGCCTGAAGTGTACAGGTGACGGGTCTGCTCTGTCATCCTGCCGAACCGCTCTGATTGCTCCTTTAGCACATTAATAGATGATGCTTCTGCTCTGGAAACTGTGCGTGGAAGTCCCTGATGAGAATCTGAGTGTTTACGTTTAAAAACCAACTAAAGCAAAAGTAAACTTCAGAACAGTAACACTCTGTTTCCATGACACTCCTGATTGTTGGCTGTTTCTTGTGTTGTTGGCTGTTTCTTCCTGTTTAATTTTACTTCCAAAGTCTTGATCAGCTGTTACAAAGCATTTCTCTGTGGGAACTATTAAGTTTTTTCTGATGATCAATAGCTAACAGGTGACCAGGTTGTTTTTCCAGTATCTGTACTTTACGCGAGTGTTATTATTATTGGAAACTTGTGACTCATTTAAAAGACAAATATTACTTTTGACATTATTACATTACATTATGTTACTTTGAAGCGGAGCTTTTAGTCAGTGGAATGAATTTTATTTTATTTTGAAAAGGGGATAGACCGTAAACTCTGTTCATGGAGGAAAACTAATCACAGCCAACGCCTACACTGTCAGTCATGTTGTGCTGCTTAATGTTTGAACAGCTCAGAAATAAATAAAAAAAACAACAATATCTGTCTTTTATTCACTCAACTGTATTTTTTTTTTGTGTCTGTGTGTTTTAGTTCATTTTATTAACTTCGTATCATATTCTTCAAGCTTTTTATTCCACAGGTTCTACGGTCAGTCAGTCAGTCAGTCAGAAGTAGGTTGTTCCCTGCATTTATTAGTTTGTTTAAATCTAAGGTGCAGTGCTGAGAGTGGGACGGATGAGGGCACCACATACCATTTAATTCAACATGTTTGACCTCAGACTGTGACAGAGTGGAACTGCAGCTGTACTCAATATAACTGTGTTTATGTATAAGATTTTTTTATATGGTTTTATTATAAGTAGACCTACATGATAACCATATTACAAGAGCAAGTAAACTGCAACATATTTAGTGCTTTTTACGATGTGGTGAAAGAGGAGAGACTTATTACAAGATTAGGGACAGGCCATACTGGGCTTTACAGTTCTTGTAAACAGTGGAACTTGTTTTGTTATATTGTCAGAAGTGATTCAGAGAGAGAAGTGTTTGTATTAAGAATGCAGTAAGAAAGATTGGAGAACAAAATATCAGTAATATTATTAAAAATAGAAAATCTTCAGGTCACAATTGTTGGAGACCCCTTCTACAGTATTTAAGATTTAAGATCAACAAAATATGCGTATCAAGTTATTTTATTTTCATTTGATTCCCTTAATTTTTTTTATTTGGACTTTTTTAATTTATTGCCTTGGTTGTTTTTTCTCAGTGATCTTTTCTTTTAAGTTCACAATCTTTATTACAGTCAAAGGCACAAATCACATTCAGGATTAATGCAGAAACAATAGAAACAACTGAGCAAGCAGCAATAAGAATGAGAACATTGCAGGTCAGAGGAAAGCAAATAAATAAATAAATGAATAAAACTAAATAATAAAATAAAGGGACAAAATAAGTGGTCAGTCAGGTATTAAAGTGTATAGATAATGATTTATAAGTCTTTGTTTGGTGTAAATACTGGAGTAGATATTTAGTCCACACCGAACGCTAGGTGGCGGTAATGCACCCAGAAGTAATTTGCCAACCACTAATACACTAACGAAGAAGAAACACGGCCAGCGGAAGTAGCAGTTCTCATAACATCCATGAGTGAAACTCGTGTAGCGGCGGCAGCTGTCAGAGTTAGTCCCATATCAGAGTTGTGTTGAACGGCACCTGTAATCTCTGAAGGTCAGTACCGCGAAGTCCTGCTCTCTTCACCGTCCCGTGTCGGTGTTTGTGAATCCCGTGTTGTGTACTTGTGAGGGATGTTTAGCTGGAGTTAGCTGAAGGTTTAGCTGGGGAAGCTAACAGTTAGCTTCAGCCGGCTCAGCCTTTCATAACCACAGCTGGTACTGTCATGAAACTCTGTAGTTGGAAACGTGGCTGGAAAACTGTTCTGTGGACTGGGGTTAATATATAAATTAAAGATAACACTTCGTTATCGGTAGTCAGTGCCAGTGAACAAGCTGTAATTAAAGTCAATAAAGTTTATATTTGAAATTAATTTGCAATATATGAAGAGTTTTGTCTCATGTAATGTAACTGTGATACAGAGTTAATTGCTTTCAGCATTGGTTTTATTACCTTATGTAATTATTTTTAATACAATCTTTCATCATGATTACAATGAAATATTTAGATATCCGTACTGATGTTTATAAGTAAGGATATTTTAGATATGTTTATATTTATTTATATGTTTATATTGTAATTTGTAATATTATCATGCAGATACAAAATTGGTTTACATTTTCGGGAAAATAAGTCAAATTGTCTAGTTGATAAATGTTGACTTATTCTGTCCAATCATCTGCCTGTGAATGATGAAACTTACAGAGAATAGCAGTAAATATTCTCTCATAAGAGTTATAGCATGTTTTATCTCATGTGACCAGTTAATGTCGATTAGCTCAGTTTATTTTATTAACTAATGACATACAGCTAAACACATCTGTCTTCCTGTGCAGCAGTATGGCCAGTGTCGAGCAGGTGGCAGCAATAGGACAGATTCTTGTGGATCCAGGACTGGACCTGACCCGGCGGTTCAGAGCCTTATTCACCCTGAAGAACCTGGGAGGTAAAACAAAACGTCGACACGTCCATTAGAGCTTTAGAGAATAAGAAATCACTCTCGTATAAGTCATAGCCAGATGCCCAATTTGCTCTGGCACTGCTCTCAACATTGGCAAAGTGTCCTTTAGGTCTAAAACTTGTCAGATCTCAATTTTATCAGTTACTGTTTTGAGGAGCTGCACAGTAAAACCTTCAGTAATACTGCTCCCAGCCTGGGTTTAACACAGGTCAGGCACAACTTAACATGGGAGGTTGATCATGTGTTTGTACAATACGGTCCGATCTACATATCAGTGGTAAATTTGGGCAATTTCCTCTTTAGTTCCTGTGTTTACAAGCTGAGACAGTTCAGTTCAGGCACTGAAGCGGATACACAGTGAATATATATCGATGACTCAGTCATAGTGTGTATGAATGACTAACAGGACAATGTATAATAATGGACGAAATGCCCAGACAGCTACCAAGAATAAGGAAGGGAGTTTATGACAGTCCTCTACTGTTTACACCTCAGACAGGTTGTTGTTGTTGTTGTTGACTTGTTGAGATGTATTCAGCCATGAAATCCAGACAGAGGCAGAGGCAGGTTGTCTTCAGGATGAACATCTGTGTGATGTGTTTAACTGTGTGAACTGATTGAAGCTGTGACGTGTGTCAGGAGCTGAAGCTATAGAGTGGATCAGTAAGGCCTTCACTGATGAGTCCGCCCTGCTGAAGCATGAGCTGGCCTACTGCCTGGGGCAGATGCAGGACAGACAGGCCATTCCCTCTTTGACTGCAGTTCTCAAAGACACACAGCAAGAACCGATGGTTCGGCACGAAGCAGGTAAACATGCACACACACACACGTTATGGGCGGGTGAAAGAGTGTTTTTCTTTTTACATCAACACACGTGCATATGCTTGTGATGATTTGAACATACACAAACAAACGAGTGCGCACACAAAAGTCATTTTGTGATTATTTCGGCAGATATTGTGATTGTGATACGAGTCACGATTTTAGTGGGAATGGTCATTTATGCATTTCATTTTATAAAAAATTCAAAAGTGATGGTCTGTGCCAAATAAGCATGTTCCCTTACATCTGTAGAATATGATTGTTTGTCGTGGTCTTTAAAGGTGTTTTGTGACACATTTTACCTTAATCAAAGAAATTGCAGGTCCTGCGATTTGGATCTTGGCCATATTGTGATTTCGACAATATTTCGATGACTTGTTCAGCTCTCTCTGACTGTGTCTCTGTTTGTAGGGGAGGCTCTAGGAGCAATTGGTGATCCTGCAGTCCTGGACCTACTCAAAGAGTACAGTCAGGATCCTGTCATTGAGGTAGGAACACTCAGCATGTAGATGCTGAGGCACCAGATCAGATTCTCAGTTCAACTGCACAATGTAAAAATGCAAAGAAAGGCTAATCTGGGCGGATATTTTTCTGGAGTCCTTTAAAAGAGCTCAATTTAATTTTGAGCCGGCTAAACGTGTTACTTTTGTTTACTGTGGCAGTATTTATGAACTGTAAATACAGAGAAATAAAAACATGGTGAGGCAGATGTCGGCCTTAATTTGGGGAGGACTGACGAGCAGGATGCAGCAGCTGCATTACGAGACGCAGTCCAACTGTGGAGTCACACCTCTGCACAAATCAGCCTGTTTTTGTCTTTTACCCAGAATTAAAAGAAAGTGACAAATACATTATCATCTTATCTCTCAGGATAATTAACACAGAATTAAATGTTGGTCATGGAAACTGGTTTAACGTCATGGAAAAGAAATGTGTGTGAACCCTGATGATGATAATGATAATGATGTAGATAATCCCAAGATGTTTCCTTCATCTTTGGTGTTTGAATCCCTAAAATTTCCCCTGAAATCACAACATCCATATAAAAACAATTAAGTGTAAAAAAGACTCGTGTCTGATTGTGAACCTGTTGTAAATGTGAGGTTGTCCACCCTGCAGGTTGCAGAAACGTGTCAGTTGGCTGTTCGTCGGCTGGAGTGGCTGCAGATTGGAGGAGAGAAACAGCTGGAGGATGGAAGTACAGACAAGAACCCCTACTGCTCCGTAGACCCGGCCCCTCCAGCTGTGAGCAAGAGTGTGTCAGAGCTGCGCTCCAACCTGTTGAATGAGAGTCTGCCGCTCTTCGAACGCTACCGCGCTATGTTTGCCCTGCGTAACCTGGGCAACGAGGAGGCTGCCCTGGCATTGGGAGATGGTAGGTTACAACACTGTGGCTTACTGTTTTATCTGTGCATCACTGCAGTCACAACTGAAACTTCAGCCCTGATAACGTTGATAACAGTGACAAATAATCCCCATCATACTACACATGATGGTCCTGGATCACACGTGGGTCGCACAAGTGTGGTGTTCTGTATATGATCTAGTACTGGACCCCAGTTATGAGTCCTACCAGAGCTAATATCATTCATGGGAGATGATGTTTATTTTTCCTGGTAATTGATTCACATTCAGTGCACAATGCCAAGTTCTCCACCGGAAAACAGGTCGGAACTGAATCTTGAGAGCACTGGAATAATGATGACGGAGGTTGTGCCGATGGACAATATTGGTGATTGACGATCATCCGAATGATCGCTGATAGCTCATGTCTTTGCCAAAGTGAAGAGGATATTTGTTTTCCCACTAATGTAGTAACTTATGATTATCATTATTTGTAGCATTAAATTAGTATTAAATTTAATTTTCCCTGCCACAGTTTCACGTATATAACTGCATATAATCATACTTGCAACACTGACGTGCACGCGCGCACACACACACACACACACACACACTGCACGCGATGACATTGGTAAATCCTACATGTCGTACGTGCAGCCTGCTCTCAGTGTGTGACCCTCTCTTGTGACGTTTGCCTGCAGGCCTGCAGTGCTCTAGTGCTCTGTTCCGTCATGAGATCGGCTACGTCCTGGGTCAGATGCAGCACCCGGCAGCGGTCCCGGCCCTGTGCGCGGCCCTGGAACGATCCGGTGAGAACCCCATGGTCCGGCACGAGGCGGCAGAGGCTCTCGGCTCCATCGGCAAAGACGACTGTCTGGCCGTACTGCAGCGTTACCGTGGAGATAGAGAACGTGTCGTCAAGGAGAGCTGCGAGGTCGCTCTGGATATGCTGGAGTATGAAAACAGTGACCAGTTCCAGTATGCAGATGAACTGGTCAGGTTACAGGGTTAAAGGTCAATATCGCAACTGAAGGAGCTTTCACTCAAATCTCTTCTTTAAACTCTGTCTTATTTTAATACCTTACACCACAGAGACACCTGGACACCACAGTGCTGTCTATAAAACTACAGGATACTGCGGGATGAAGCTTCACTGTGTGACAGATACTCAGCACATAAAACAAACATGAAACTGTTAAAGTTGTCGAGCTGCGAGAGTGAGCTCTTAGCTGTGGGGGGTGGGGGGTGTGGCTGTGTTCGGGGACAAGAAGGAGCAGAGTCTTTGTGTTTTTCCCCCCTCCAGATAACACTGCAGTCAGATGCAGCACCACTCGGCTGCAATAGTTTTTTTCAATGTGTCTTATTTGCGTTTTTTCCCCCCAACAACCGGCTGGTGACAGTAATACATAGTGTATATTCACTATATCTGTGTATTTTCTGTTGTGTAACAGCTTAAGGATAATTTCCCAACACACCCAGGAGTGTTTTATGTTACTTTACTTCTCTGTGATCATTTGCAGTTTTATGGAAACTGCTGAAGGTTAAAGGCCTGACAGACTGATGTGATGAGTTCAACTTAAAAAGCTTTTCCTCCCAAGTGTTTCTTTGCTCTTTCTCAATTCTTAGTATTTTTTGTACACAGTCCAACAGAAGGGAGATGAGACAGTGCTACATGGACTGGTTCTAAATTTAAGCATTGGTTCAGATCCAGGCTGCACAATCTGATATCAGTTCATTCTGTGGTTGATAATTAAGACAAGCCAGAGATCTATCTGCCTCTGTTGTGGATTTACAGTATGTTTGGAAGTACCACAGGAGTTAATTCAAACTTTATTCTGCTGCACAGATTAGCTGTGTGAAATAGTAGTTGAGCCTTAATCTCTCATGTTCCTCTGGCTGCTTCATGACTAGGCTACTGTTGAACACAGGTTTTCATTTTAATTTGTATCCGTTATCATTTACAGTCAGGTGTGTACTGTATGTAAATTAAAATTATGCTGTAAACATTTATGTCATCTGATGTCTGAAGTCTTTTTATGCCTTCAGTGACAATGTGGGAGGGATTTTTACTTGCACATCTGCACACTGATGTTTTCCTAGCTGGGGTACCTGATATTATTGTTGTCACATTAAATGTTATTGCACATACACTTTGAGACAAGTGACACAGTAAAGAAAACACAAAAACAACATGTTGACATAAAAAATATACTTTTGAATACTTAAGTATTTTTAAAAGCAAGTACTCCAATACTTTAAGTCAAGTAAAAAATTGACTCAACAACTTTCACTTGTATTTGTAATTATAATATTTGACCAGGACTATCTATAAGTTGATTTAAGTAATGGAGATGTGTACTTTGTCACATCTGGTGATTTTGTTTTGTTAGATCTAGAAGGTGAAGTTGTGAAATTTCAATTTATCTTCAAATGATAAATTTTTGTCCTGAATTTTAATTTATCTTGAATATATTTTAATTTATCTTAATTCACATCCAACTGGCAAATACCAACAAACACTTGGTACTCATGTATTTGCAGGTAAATATTTAAAGGTTACGTTAAAAACACCTTTTTGGCTACATAAGAACAGCCTATTATCAATTATGTATCGAGATATTCATTTCCATTTACTGTTTTTGTTTTGTTTTGCCCTTATTTTAATTTTTTTTTCGCTCCTGGATTTGCAGCGCCCTCGCGAGCCTAGCAACCATACTGCTACCGTTACCACAGCAACCGGTGAAGTTTGGTTCTATGCTACCACTCAGTGAGGCTGTTAAGGTTAGCTAACCTGTTGCTGCCGTTGAAAGATAAACGTTCAGACACGGATTTAGAAAAAACAGAGAAACGATGGACACTGCGGACGGAAACCAAGACAGCAGTCAACAGAGACGACACTCTGCCGCCTCCTTCAAGGCTTTCATGATGAAAAACAGCACGAAAAGCAACCTGAACCTGTGAGAACTGTGTATGTGTGTGTGCGTGTGCGTGTGTATTACGGTGTTAGCTCGTAGCTGCTAGCTTGTCTGGTTGATAGTTAAAGTGCATTGGCAGTAGCTATATTCAAAACACGAGATTGGAAGCTGTTGCCTCAGGAAAAAATATTTAAATAAATCCCTCACACAAAACAACATCCCATTATGTTATTTAAATTTCATGATGCCGTTAAAATGTGTCAAGCTTAGCCGTTAAAAGTTATTCAACTGTTTCGAGAAGCAGATTTACTCTCCTCTGTTGAGTTGTCTTGATAACTTTGTGGAGTAAATAAACTTTAAACACTGAATGCAGAGATCCTCACATTTGAGAAACAACAGCAATTATTTGGCATCGTTGCCTAAATGATGTAAACATTTAAGCAACATTATTATCAACATTGTTGAATATTTTCTGACTCACTAAGCTGGAAATGGAAATAATTGATTTCAGTGACTGTGTCCTCTGCTGACATTGGAAACCATCTAAACTGGCATAATATTACTCACTTAATAGTTTCATTAAAACTGTGCTGCTGTTTATTTGGATTTTCATCATATACTAACTGAGAGATTCGTTGTGACTATATGCAGTCACAATACAAAATGCCACTTTCTGTGGAAAATGCCTGTACTGATACATATACATTAGTAAATTTATATTATATGTATTTGCTTGTATGTGTGAATATCATTTCCTGGTATTCATTCTCTACAATGACCAAAAGATGGTCCAACGCTCAGGAATTCATCATTGGTGTTGTCCTTTAATGTTCCAGCTATGACCACCTCACCTGTTTACTAATAAAGGTGCTGGATGAGGAACCACAGAACGTGGTGGACGTGATCGAGGATATGAGCCGTGATGTGAAGCGGGATTTATTTGAAGACAAGCAAAGCTCTCTGCGAGAGCTCCCAGAGGCCACAGCTGCTGAGCTGCTGGCTGAACAGCAACGGCTGCTGTTTTCACAGCCAGAAGACGCTGACCATGATGATGAACTGGTATTGGCTTCATACACCTAAATTCTACATTTGTGTTGGTGATTTGAAGGGGAGAGGGCATTTGGTTTAAAAGTGACATGTTGTTTAGACATGTAATGACAACAGGTTACATATCACTGTTATTTCAACAGCATTTTATTGACTATTTTCATGTGTGGCAGGTGTCAAAAACAAACAAAGGGCAAAAATCCAAAAAATAGTCATTACACATACAATAGTAAATTGTATGTGTAAATATATATATACTATAAACACTGTTTATTGTTCTTCGTCAGGTGGAAACACCTCTTCCTAATGTGAGTGAGATTTGCTTCTACATGGAGCAGGCTGGAGTGGGTCTGGGCAGAGAGGAGATGCAGAGGATCTTTCTTGCACTCAAGCAGCTTGTCGAGTCGCAGGCGCTCCTGCGCTGCCGACTGTGGGGCAAGATTCTGGGATTGCAGAGCAACTATATTGTTGCTGAAGCTGAGTACAGAGAGGGCGATGAAGTGGAAGAGCAAATGGTTGATGAAGCGGCTGTGGAAGAGGAGACAGAGGCTGAGGTTCAGGAGAATGAGGTGAGTAAGTGGAAAGTAGTCAATCAAGGTACCAGATAATCTTCATTCATTCTCAAATTGTGACAGGGGTCTTTATTTACCGCGGCCGTAGAGAGAACCAGGCCATTGTTTCAATGCTTTAACAGTATATTGATCTTATTCTATTAAGACCCTTTTCATTTCAATCAAGAATTCCATCAGTACAACAACCACTCTGCTGCTCACACTCTGTTTTTAAGACAAAAGCTGTTTTCATCTACTGCTGTTTTTTTCTTGTATCGCTCTTAATCTACCATCAACCACTTTCTGTGGATGTTTCAAGCCACAAATCAGCTCAAAGGAAATAATGCTCTCATTTTCTGATAGGCTTTTAATATGAAATATCTCCAGGAACCATTGACCCTTAATTACCAGGAAGGTCAAGGAAATGTGAGCATTATTTCCTCACTCCTGTAGCGCTCCTGTTGAGTCCTCCTGTAAGACATCATCCCTCCTGCTGCTCAACCAGGTGCTGGTCATTCCAGTATAGAAGTTTTCTCACAGCACTCCTGTTCTCTGTTCACTGCATTGGCTTCCTGCTCCACCTAGCATCCGATGTAAGACTGTTTGATTCTATCTTCTATTTACAATGTTTCACACAGTGATGACGAGGAAATAGAATTTTATTTTGATGAATTAAGTCTTTTGATATTTAAAAAGAGAGTCCCATAATCTTTTCAAGGGTAAAGAAGTAAAGTCGTTTTTCTTGTGTTTATTTTCAGATGGATCCACTTCCTCTGTCAACCTACAAACCCCCGCCAGTGGTGCCGAAGGATGCCATAGGAACAGGAGCTAACAAGTTTGTTTACTATGTGTGCAAAGAGCCTGGTCTTCCTTGGGTAAAGCTCCCTCCAGTCACTCCCGTGCAGATCACTGTCGCTCGCCAGATCCGTAAATTCTTCACCGGGAGGCTGGACGCACCGGTCAACAGCTACCCGCCTTTTCCCGGGAACGAAGCCAACTATCTGAGAGCACAGATTGCTCGGATCTCCGCCGGCACACAGGTCAGCCCCCGGGGCTTTTACCAGGCTAGGGAGGAGGAAGGTGACGAGGAAGAGGAGGCACCAGGGGACACCTATGAAACGAATCCTGATTTTGAGGGCGTTTCAGTCTCTGAGATGGCTGAGTCTTTGTCCTCGTGGGTGCATCATGTTCAGCACATCCTGCCGCAGGTACGAGTCTGATCAAAGCATGTACACGGACCATCTTCTCAGCTGATGTGTCCGTGTGCGTATGTAATGTGTGAGTATGGACTGCTTTAGGGCCGCTGTACTTGGATAAACCTGGCTGTGAAACCAGGAGAAGAGTCGAACGAGGACGGAGAGGTTGAGGAGAAAGAAGAGGAGCCTGATGAGCCTGAGCCAGAAGTTGGACCCCCCCTGCTCACTCCCCTCTCCCAAGATGCAGGTCAGTCTTTGCCTTTGGACATGAGGGGGTTCAGAAGGGCTTTATTTATTTTAAATACCTTTTAAATCTCACCAAAGTCTCTTAAACAGTGTTCTCTGGTTGAATTATTGAATATTATGGAGAGGCCATCCTAAAGAGGTGAGTTTTTAAAGGTTGTTAAAAACAGTCAACAGTGAGATTTTTCAGGAGTCTGGGTGCCAGGGGAGCAAAAGCACAGTCACCTTTGGTTTTTAATTTGGCACCTGGTTGTCAGGTTTTGGTTGGATGACATAAGTGACCCCTCTGTGGTGTAAGGGTTCAGAAGTTCTGAAGAGATGAGAAATCGTTGCAGGTTAGATCAACTGGTGACTCTGAGTTACCAGTAGGTGTGAACGTGAGTGTGAATCATTGTCTCTAGGTGACAGCGGTGTGACTGACTGGCGACCGGTCAAGGGTGTAAGTCGGGATCTGACTTCATTGTGCCTCCCTTTCTGTAACAAAACCTATGTCCTTGGAAGGAATCAAAATCTTTTCATTATTTGTGTCTCTCAGAAATATTCAACATCCCTCCCTGGACCTCCAAGATGTCCTCCACTCTCACCTCTCAGCATGCAGTCGCTGTGCTGCGTTCTAACCTCTGGCCGGGAGCGCACGCATATGCTTGTGGAAAGTAAGTGAAAACATCAGAATAGTCTGACTTCCTGTGTCTGATTTCTCACAGTATGCTGAAGGCAATTTTGCAATTTACAAACAAGCACATGTTGTCTCTTTATTCAGGAAGTTTGAGAACATATATATTGGATGGGGTCTGAAGTATGCAGGAGAAGGCTACCGCCCGCCCGCCCCCCCGCTGCCACAGAAAGAACATCCCAGCGGACCAGAAATCACAGAGGCCGTGGACCCAACACTGGAGGAGGAGCAGGCGCTGAGAGAAGCTTTAGAGGAGCAGCAAGCTGCCCAGGAGGAGATGGAGGACACAGACCAAGAGGAGGAGGAAGATGATGACTAAGAAAACAGTTTAAAACATTTAGAACATTAAAAAAATCTACAATTAATCTCTCAAGTATTTATTTGTAATTAAATAAATCAGTTTACTGGCTTGATGTTGTAAATTCAAGTAAATGCAGTTCAATATTAAATTTAAGGTGTATGTTAAGCAAAAATAATATAATGTAAGCAAACAGTACATGTCTTAATTGATTTTCTATTTGTATTTCTAGAAATATATTTTTCAATTTCTATTATCAAAGCAGGGAAGAATATTATTTGAAAACTTACTCTTAACTTATGGATGTGAAATTTATTGGATTTTATTATAAATTATTTAAGATTTATTAAATAAAACGTATTGTCACCTTCAGTATTTGGGCCATAGAAACAAAACAACACATATTCCCATTTAAGGGAAAAATTATTACAAACTTCTGTGAATCTGTGGGGCAGCATTCAAACCTTTTCCCAACGTATCTGAGAAACAAATTTGCTCATCCTTGAAGTATTTCTTTTCCCAAATGCTTTATTATTCAAAACATTTTCCATTTCATCTTATTAAAACCATTAAACATTGAAAATGGAGGACACAATCATAACTTCTGAAGTAAGATACATAGTGAAATATGAACAATACATACAAATAAAATGCAAATGCAAATGCAAATACAATAAAAGGAAATAAATGCAACATATGCCATGAAAGAAAACAGATATTACAGGGAAAAATGTTTTTATTGCTTTATTGTTTAGTCCATGTAATGAATCAATTTAGTGTCCAATTATTATTTTGAATTGTTGTATGTGTGGTTTATAATATTCTATATATAAACAAAAATGTTTAATAGATTCATTAGATAAATGACAAATACTCTCAGTTTCGTAATTGCAAAGTACACATTATCCTTGAAACGTTGCATCAAGTTATGCAGACAACACTACGTCATCAAACGTTGACGGAAGAAGGTCGGTCACACGCTGTAGAAAGCTCCAGATCAACATGGCTGCCTGCATGAAGATGCTGGGCGCTGGTAGAAAGCTGCACAGAAACTCGGCTCTTGTTGTGAAGCTGAACTGGTCCGGCAGCAGCTGCGGCCCCCACACCGGTCCTTCGGCCCTGAGCCGGCTCCAGCCCCCGCGGCTCTACACCAGCACCGGGACCTCACTGAGAACCAGCGCCGGCCGCTGCTCTCACATCCCAGTCAGCACAGCAATGACAGCTGGCTGCAGGCTCACCGTCAGACCGCACCGGTGGATCCGGGGCGGTGCTGTTCTCCGTTGGCAAACCGGGCTCCTCACACCGGCCTCTCGACCCTACATGCTCCAGGATAGGATGTTCGGGAACCAGGCTAGCGGCGCAGGCTTCTCCGGGGAGGACGGCGGGGACAGTGCGGGCTCCGGCGGAGAGGAGTCAGGGGGAGATGGTGGAGTGCCGTACAGCGGAGCTCAGATGACGGCTCTCACCCCCATGATGGTCCCGGAGGTGTTTCCCAATGTGCCGATGATCGCCGTGAGCAGGAACCCGGTGTTCCCCCGCTTCATCAAGATCATAGAGGTGAGGAAGAACACGGCTCATGGACGCGAAAGATCCGAGATGATGCAATCTTACAAAATCGCTCTTCAGACCCTGTGGAGGTCAGACCTGGATGCAGGGGGGGGGGGTCATAGCTCCCCCAGGGACGACGAAACCTCCACTTTTTACATGTGTAATACAACAGTGAAACATAATGAGTCAGGATGTTTAATTAAACTATAATGACTCGTCACTGGTTGATTTAAATATGTGTGTGCAGCTTGGTCAGGCCAGAGTTACAGCCTGTGGAGGGACACTGCAGACAGCTAATGACACACAGCTGTTTATTAAGGTTTTATTAAAAGAGACTGTTGACTTCCACGTCTCTTATCTGTCCTCTGCACATGATCTTCCTCCACGTGATTGATCAGTGGACTCTCTCTATTTGGCGCTTTATTTAATCAGGAAATTGGAAAAATTGTTGTGTGGCCATTTCTACACCTACCCACACAGAGAATGATCAGTGAACTATAATACACATGGGGAAATCTGATATTTCAGGCCAAGACCACAGCTCTAACCTGGTGTGTGTGTGTGTGTGTGTGTGCGCGCGTGCGTGCATGCATGTGTGCGTGCGTGCGTGTGTGTGTGTGTCTTTCAGGTGAAGAACAAAGCATTGATGGAGCTGTTGAGGAGGAAGGTGCGTCTGGCTCAGCCGTATGCCGGAGTCTTCCTGAAGAGAGACGACAAGTACGTTTGAAAACTCGCTCTTTGTTCTGCAGATCAGTTTAAAATACGATGTGATCCACTTCACTCTGCAGGAATCAGTGAACTGCGCTGCGGGACGTGACACGCTGCCCACTGTGCATGTCTCTCTATTTAAAATATGTTTTATTGAGCCGAGGAAAGTTGTACGTACAGAAAACTGTTGTACCAGTGCTGCTAGAATTATATTAATGTTGCAGGTATAAAACAGGTGATATATAGGTATATGGATTTGAACGTTATCTAAGATAAATACATAAGTGAACAAGTAATTAAATAATTACACTAAATGAAAATGGATAAAAATACATTTGAATTGTAAGTGCTGAATCCAAGAGTGGAAACATAACACAGATGAAGGAGCTACGAGAGCTCAACGCACTGCATCTTTAGAAAACACGAGCAAATCCAGAAAACATCTTCACCAATGTGACAACACGTGAGCTGCAAACACTCACAACACAACAGAGGTGTTTCCAGGGGACAATGAAAAGTGACGAACCCGGCCGGGACGCACTTGTTGAAAGGTCACGAAGCTGCTTGTTTCTGCTGCGATGAGGCAGAAGGAGAGGAACTGTTGCTGCAGTTAACGCTCTTCGTGTTTCAGATTAACGAAGTGTTAATAATGTCCGAGATACTTAAACAAACAGGTGAAACTTTGGGCCGAAGTACGAAGCTACGAGAAAGACCCGACTCTGAGGAATGTCACTTATCTCACACGGGTGATATGTTTGGATTTGTGTTGTGTATTTTCACCTCAGAGTAACAGAGTCTGTGGAGTATTTCAAATTGTCCGGTGTTATGTGTTTGTAGTAACGAGTGTCTCCGTCTGTCGCAGTAACGAGTCCGATGTGGTGGAGTCTCTGGATGCCGTCTACTCCACAGGGACCTTTGTTCAGATTCATGAGATGCAGGACCTGGGAGACAAGTTGAGGATGATTGTCATGGGCCATCGCAGGTTAGAAACCCCTCTGCTGAATTGTGAGAATTATTCTGGTGGTTTGTGGTGAATGAAAATGTGTAGACTCTGCTCTCCACGGCACGCCACTGCCTGTAGCTTGTGTAGACCTCAGCTATATGAACAGTACACTCTCTGGCCCGTCAGGATCCGGATCACAAGGCAGCTGGAGGTGGAGCCCGAGGAGGATGTGACGCCCCCCGTGTCGTCAGAGTCTGAGCCGGAGTCCCACCCCAAACCTGCGCCGAGACGCAAAACCAAACGCAGCCGCAAGGACCAACCGGGGCCTCTGGCAGAGCAGCTGGAGGACACGGTCTGTAACCTCCGAGAGCTCCTCATGTTTTATATTACTGTTTACATTTATTCACATATCGTATCAAAACACTCAAACTGATCTCCAAACCAAATCAGATGAATAAGATCATTCAACAAATCATCAAATATCAACATCCAACACTCACATTATTTACCAAAAACATCTGAAACTCACATCAGACAGAAATCAGAGTCATGATTCAGTGAGAGACGAACACACAGACATGAAAACACCACTGTAAACAAACCTCCACTGATCTGATCAGACACCAGAGAAGAAGAAGCTCCTCAGTCAGTGATCAGTGATAGTGGTCAGATCATCAATGGTTCACAACAAACAGGAAGTTAAACATAGATCATTCACTAAACTTTATTTTCCAAAATGTAAACAAACAAGTTAACTCACCGTATCCATGGCAACATATTTCCTGTTTGTTGGGAAAGTTGAGTTTCTATCTGTTCTGTTACTGGTACTGTTTCTGTCACTGCATGCGGCCTACAGCTGATCTGATGTAAACAAACCTGACAGTGACTCATGTGACTGACAGCTGACGGATAATGATCTGGTGCTGAAGAGAGCGTTTGTCTCTGTGCGTTTGATCTAGTTCATTCGGAGCAGATTTACTGAGTGAAGTTGTGTTGCATAAAGTTTGAACTCCACATCCAGGGTTTGTTCAGACTTTATTCTCTGAGCCTGTCCGAGGCTCCAGCTGAATAATGATGATGCTTTCATGTGTAGTCTGGGGCCGGGGTGTTTGCTAGTTTTGCCTTGGTGTCCCCGAACT